TGTTGTCAACATCGGCATTGTAGTATTAGGCTAGATAGGATCTGCCACAAGTAGTCTGGGCGCCGAGCGCCAATAGGATATCAACTCTTGTTCTTCGTTGATGATGATGAGAGACTATTTCAGCATTGTCAATTACGAACTACTGGTGTGTTCTGATTTGGTGAATCTCGTGATGCATGACTGCTGTTAGTTCAAGGTCAAGACTATCTGGACACATATGTATGATGTTGTTTGACTGCTGGAGCTCGCTAATGCTCATCTTCCTTGCAAAAACAAGAAAAAAAGCAAAAATACAGCACAATATGACAGTTTCAGTGCAATTCGGTGCAAAATTCGTCGAAAATAACACCCCTGGTTAAATATTCGCCGTTTTCGTTGGCAATTGCGGTAAGAATTTCATCAAAAATTTTAAAAACAACGATATGAGACCATAGCGCAAGCATCGAAAAAGGAAACAGGCCAAAAAAAACGAAAAAAACAAAACAAAAAAACACTATGAAACCCTAACACAAAGACACTGTCCAAATCAAAATGGAGCGTCCAACGAATTCAACAAAATGCCAACGTTTTCATTATTGATCCAAACATGTCAAAACTGCACACATGACGTACCCTAACGCACATATGTATCACACACAAAAAAAAACAAGAAAAAAAACAAAAAGTCAGCACAATATGACAGTTTCAGTGCAATTCGATGCAAAATTCGTCGAAAATAACACCCCTGGTTAACGGGGGCCCAAATATTCGTCGTTTTCGTTGGCAATTGCGGTGCGAATTTCATCACAAATTTTAATTCGTAAGCGAAGCCGCAGCTTCAGTAGCATGGCCACTTCTGCGCAACAGAGTTCGCAGGCCAGCAGTTTAGGAGCTGTAGGGTCAACGGTCGCGCAGATCCAGAGTCAGTCCACTGGCTTAATGGCAAGCCAGCCCTTACTGATGACTCCCGAGGAGGTCGCCATACAACGAGCTGTTGATCGCGAGGCACACCTACAGCAGGCGTTGGGAGAGATTAAGGCTGAGAAAGAGAGAATGACTAGGAGAAGAGCCAGGATGCAGCGGAGGCAAGCGGACGTTAGTGAGTTAGAGGAGATGGACCCAGCAGAGATGGAGGATGATGTGAGGACCATACGGTCGGTCTTGTTGAGCGTAGTAGAGATGCAAGAACACCAAATGGAGATCTTACTAGACATCCAACAAAGTCTGGCTGTGTTAGTCGGGCGAATGCAAGCGTCACCATCACCGTTCGGGCCAGGTGCCTGGCCCGGTGCACATCCTCCTCCTTTTGTCCCACTGGTGACTGGGGTATCCCCATATACAGCCCCGGCATCTGTCCAGACCGTTTCCCCGGGCATGCTGTTATCAGGAGGGTTATCAGCAGGTCCTAGTTTGCAGGTTCCTGTACAGCCAGTGTATTTCCAACCTCCGTTGCAGATTGCAGTTACAACGCAACCTGCTATCTCGCAGACTGTACAGCCGCAGGGTACACAACCCCTACAGCCAGTGCAGCCGCTTGCATCACAGGGTCCACAGCCCAGTGGGATGCAGGGACCGGGACAAACCCAGTGGGTACCAAAGACGGCCATCGCGGCTCCTAAACCCTTCACAGGGGATAAGAGGGGCGAAGACCTCGACACCTGGTTGAGGGCAGTGCCAGTATATGTCAAGTGTAAACTCACCTTGCCGCACGAGGAAGTGCTTGTGGCTGCATCTTACCTAGAGGGTAGTGCAGCAAGATGGTTGAGTGGTTTAGTACAACTGCAGGGATACGGTCACGACTTTCGCGCTTGGGCAGTCACCCAGAAAATGGACGACTTCCTCAAGTTGGTGGAAGAAAGGTGGCATGATCCCCAGGAGGCCCAAAAGGCCACTGATGCGATCCTGACACTGCACACGAGGCAGTTCAAGTCAGTGAGGGAGGCCACCGACGCCGTGGAGCGTCTGATTTGTGTCCCTGGGGCGCGCTATGACCCCCAGGTTTTACTCACCTCCTACCTGAGGTGCTTCCCTATGCCTCTCACGAATTAGTTGGCAGGTGAGGCCAACATCAATGTGCACAACTTTCCTTCATTCAGCAAGAAGGCCCTAGACCTTGAGGCAAAGATAGGGCATGGACATAATCCCACAACGGATGGTAGGAAGAAAACACTGCCTCCCAACTGGAAAGCGAAGGGTCGCATCATGTTTGTCGAGAACGATGGTTCAACCATCGAGTTAGACGACAACTTCCAGGAGGGAGAAGGTTCAAAGGCTGGTAGCGTAGAAGCTTCAGGGGTGGAGTAGTCGTTTCCGTAGCACAAAAAGGTACGGGCGAGTACAACAAGGTTGCTGATGCGCTGTCGCGTAGACCAGATTTCTCTGGTGCGTTGATCACTGAGTTTAGGCTTGCGGACGATGTTACTCAATCTATGGTGGAAGGCTATCGCGAGGCCCAGTTTATGTCTGAGATCATACGCATACTCGAGGTGAAGGACAAAGTGACTTCTGCCGAGTTTGAGTTGGTCAACGGACTGCTTTTCCTTGAGAAAGAAGGGAATAAACGTTTGTGTGTGCCAGATAGGGAGTCTTTGCGTAGTTTATTTTTAGGCGAGTGTCATGACGCCACCGGACATTTTGGCTTCAAGAAGACTGCAGCCAATCTGCTGCAGCGGTTTTGGTGGCCCACGATGATGAGAGATGCCAAGCTGTACGTGGAGACTTGTCAGGTCTGTCAGAGAGACAAGCCCCATACACAGGCCCCTCTTGGGCTCCTCAAGCCCCTTCCGATTCCGGAAAGGCCTGGTGAGAGTCTGTCCATGGACTTCATGGACACCTTGGTCACCAGCAAGAGTGGAATGCGACACATCTTTGTCATTGTGGATAGATTTAGTAAGTATGCTAGGTTAATTGCTATGCCGGAGACAGCGAAAACTGAGTACGTGATCAGATTGTTTAAGGAGAATTGGGTCAGAGATTTTGGTGTGCCTAAGTCAATCGTGAGTGACAGGGATGTCAGATTCACCAGTGAGTTGTGGAAGGCTGCCGCTGCCGAACAGGGAACACAGTTGCAGATGACTTTTGGGAATCACCCAGAGGCCAATGGCCAGGCCGAGCAACTGAACCGCGCTGTACATCACCTGCTGCGGCATTACATCAAGCCCAATCAGGTGGACTGGGGTGAGAAGCTTGCTCTCATCGCCAGCCTGTACAATAACGCTGTACACAGCGCCACCGGGGGGAGCCCAAACAGCTTATTACTGACCTTCAAGCCTAGACTACCCTTGGATTTTCTCCTTCCTGAGAACCAGCCAACTGCTGCACTGGGTACCTTAGAATTCGCTTATCGCTACGAACAGAAAATGCAGCAGGCAATAGAACAGATGCAAAAGGCACAGGCGGCAATGATAGAATCTGAAAACAGGCACCACCGCCAATCTACATTCCAGGTTGGGGACAGGGTCTGGGTTAAGTCCTCAGAACTGGGACAGGAGCACGAGATTTCCCGCAAGCTCATGCCTCAGTACTTTGGACCATGGGAGGTCTTAGACATTGTCGAGACTGATCTGGATGGACCATCTTCTGTAATCCGGATCCCTGGTCATCTCCACACTTATCCTGTCTTTCACGCTTCTAAGCTTTCACCTTTCGAGGAAACTGATCAGCTTCCCTCTCGTCGCTCTATGCTGCCCCCAACCATTGATGGAGAGGTCGACATCGATGACATCGTCGACCATAAGGAAATGCCAGTTCCAAGACCGACAGGCAGGGGACGTCCTCCGAAACCGAAGCTGCAATACCGGGTTCGGTTCAGACATCACACGGATCCAACGGAGGATCGATGGTTTACCAAAGAAGAACTCATGCAGACCGCTCCTCAGTTGTTGCTCAATATGAAAAGTCTCTGCAGAACGGAAAGTGCCAGATTATCGAAGACTGAACTTCTCAGAGGACTATCAAAGTTATGGAGGAGGGAATGCGAGGCCAAGGCCCCGATGAACCCCTTTTTGGGCCTGTTATGCAGCACGTCCGCCACCCTAAGTGAAGGCAGGCTCGACGAGGGCCTGAGGGCCCCTATTTCGGTCACGACGCAACTGTGGAAAATTCAGGCAGTTGCGCAGCACCGGTTGGTTGAAGAGCACCCAGGCCCAGGCCACCTGTTTGCATGTATGGAAGGCAGGCCCTGGGCTGGATACAGGATATGGGCCAAACATAGGCCGAGGACAGTTGGGCACAAGTAACCACCACAGGCCCTGGGCCTGATTCGTGTGGACCGGGCCTCAGCCTACCGGGGCCTACCGTAAGCTTCTTGGGACAGGCCCAGTGCAGCAGCAAGCAGGCCACTTCCATAAAGCAAAGGGCCTGCCTCCGCATTGGACATTCGGGTGCTGGCTGCA